TAGATCTTTCGCCCAAGGTTCTTCTCACGAGACTCCTGAAGTCCAAATGAAGCATGTTGCTTGCCTATGAGTATGCGTTACTTTGACCCATTCGTTTGTATAATTTTTAAGCAAAGAATCCCTAGCGTCCCATTACAATCCGACCCATTTATTGGCATGCTGCAACGCGTCTGCATAATTACTGCTGTAGTCGTCCGACCAGCCACTGTATACGTCAGACAACGGCGACGTAGCTTTTGCCTTCTGCTAATAATGCACACTCAAATAAATTAACTTTTATCTGGTATGTCTGAATGCAAGAACACATTGACTTGAAACCAACACTGTGCCCATAAATGCGTACGCTCCACTGGGTGGTTCTTAAACACAGCTTCAGATCAAGCAAACGGTCAGCAGCCATCCCCGTAGTTAATATTCACAAAATTTGCATGCTAAAATTCAGATAAATGGCACAACAGAAGTCATGTAAAGTGCCTGGTATGCAAGAACATTTGAATCTCTACAACTGCCCTGCTTCACATCTGGGGTGTAGCTCTGCAGTCTTTCGAATGCAGTGCATGCTGACCCCATCAAATGCCACAACTATCCCGCAGGCATGATAAAAAATTAAAGTAGTTGTTAATTTCAATAAAGTCATGGGGGTGTCTGTACTGCTTAACAACCACTCGGAAAGTTTCCGAGGCCGGCTTTGGTAGCTTGTTGTTCTACAGCAGTGGGATCCAGCTGCGCGAATTCTGTGAGGGCGAGGGAAGAAAAGGCTTCCAGGAAGATAACAGGCTCCGTTCCGTATAAATAGTGTGGCTACTAATGGCTAGTATGTCTTGACGAGGCGTTTTCATCGACGATAGTATGTAGAACTGATGCACTTGATTCATTGACCTCGTAATGGACGGCTGGCATTACTTGCAGCGCCGCATGCTAGCCAGGGGCGTGAAAGCGCGAGTTTCTAGACAGAAGGATCTTTTGTGCCGCAGAAGCTTTGTAGAAACTGAGTGACACGGGCGTGTAGCCCAGGAAGCGGAAGGCGATTCATCTTATTATGTGGCACGACGAGACACTGCAATCGGGCAATTCGATTACTGCCACTTTCCGGCAGCAATCGAATTGCCCGTTTGCAGTGTCCCTTCTGTTCAAAACGAAGTAGAGACGAGTGTGATCACGCCTGAACTGCTCTTAATGTCCTTTTATTAAGCCGTTGATTCTCCAACGGATTCCTATACTGGCAAAACCAGCGACGCCGTGTGGAATTGCTCGGGCGCAGCGTAAGACAAAATTCAGTGCGCCCCCAGCGAGTCATCCACTTGGCGCTGCATTTAGGATCCCTCAGCACGCCCCAAAACAGATGGAACAGTTCAGCAGCCACCTCCAGAAACTAACAAAATGCGCGTTGAATGGTTTTCCTGGCATGCATGCAAGGCGTACAGTGCTCCCGTATAGCCCTCTTACCTACTTGCGTTCTACTTCTTTGCTTTCCCTGTGCGATCGATGCTTCATCTTGTAGCGGCGTACAAAGAAAAATTGTGTCTTTTAGCTTTTCTTGTATACGAAGGCCTGGTGTTTGTAGTACGTGCTGGGGTGCCTTCTCAGTTTTAGGCTCATAACTCATCGAAACGACCTGTCTAATGTCATACAATCGCAGCACGTTAGCTAGAAGCAAGATATTGAGCAGTCACTGGCACATAAATATGCTTGGAAACAAAACTGTTCATCCATCTGTAGCAGTTAGACATCAGCGAAACAGCCTATACCCAGATTAAGGCAACATTCAAAGACCCCCTCCCTGGCAGCATATCCTGTTGCTTATATTGTGACTCATAAAACAGGTCAGCATACCCGCGCTCCTGCAGTGGAAATAAGTCTACCAGCATGAACCATATACGTGGCGAACAACACGAGTTTTACGGTACACAAGACCTCTTAGAGTGCTGATCAATGAGCTGAAGGAGCCGTGGGGCCGCTACTCATATAAATTGTGATAGTAGTGGTGCTTGTAATGTCGGAAGCTGCTACTGTGGTGTTTGTATGATTCAAAACTCATCCAAACAGCGTGCTTCTGAATGCTCACGAAGCCGCATTCTAGCTCAACTGAGGACCATGGCCGACAGCTGAATGTTACGGCCAACAGGTCTTCTCTGGCATCATGATCGCCTGCGGGATACACTGCCTTAGAGGTACCGCCCCACAGGTTCGGTTCATAGACAGATGTGGTTTGCACGGTATCGTGAATAGACCGACGAAGGCGCTGAAGGCGCTTTACATGTCTTCCCAGAAAATGCATCGTGCTCTGACTTGTGCCACTGGAGTGTGAGATGAGTCCCCAAGGTGTTCTAATGGCTCTACTCTCCAGCTTTGCGCCATGAAAATGCACTCCCAAAATTTCCTTCAGAGACTCAAAGCCTTCATTTGTGGTCGACTGCGTTTTGATTCACAAAATGGCCGCGAATTCATGCAGTGCCTGGCAGCTTGCTGCAATTCACGGACCCGCCCCTACTCAAGAAAGCGCAGAAGTCTAAGGCTCACTAACTATGAGCGCACTCTACAGCATGCTTTGACTAGTCTCACGCATTCCGACGCTGAATGTGGCTTCTTCTTATGCCCATTACTTCGAGCGCAAGCTTGTCCACCCAGGTTTCTGCAGTGTGGCGCCCCTACGAACCAGTTCATACTAGCAGACGCGCAGCATCTCGTGCCGGACCCTGCGGCCTACCCAAATTAGCTGAAGTTTGGTTGGCAAGCTCACCAATTGCTGCTCTGAACTACGCAAAACCAACCTAGACGCGATGTGCGCTAAGTGCGTCAACTTGTGATTTACGGCTGCACGGCGGAAAGGTGAACATCAGGGGCAGGAGTTTCCGATCGACCAAACCTTAATGTTTCGTAACATTCACAGCAGTTTGCGTATGCCTAATGATATTCACACAAAGTTAAGGGCTGACATGTATTAGATCAACTAGTCCGCGCACATCGCTGGCTGGTGCCAGCATCCGCCCCACGGATACCAGCATTTAATCGTTCTTTTGTCCCTGGAACTTACACATGCTGATTCGTAACAAGATGCTCCTCCTCGAACAGGCCAGCTCTGGGACAAATATGCAGGAGAAGATATCCCAACTCAACCTGTGGCAGAATCCTCTTTTGTCCTTGAAAGGGTAGATCTCACTGTTTGTAAGAAACATTCCAAGCCGCATGCCTCAGTAGCTCCGAAAAATGAATTAATAACGTGGCAAGTGCAGGTTGTGTAGCCCTCCCAAAACACCGCCCGACTGCATATTAGGCCCAGTACTGAATAAGTGATTGTGCGACTTACTATTTCTGCATCTGTTTAGACACTCGATCCAACGCTGATGAACACCGTCTTTGTCTGAAATTCCAACCCTCAATGAGAAATACCGCTGCTTGCAGTGGCTGCCTCCACTGAAACTTAGTTGACTAACGGTTAGGTAGTTGTGTTTTACTCGCGGTTGTCTGAGCGCAGGAGGCTCTGCACAGCAGAAGCTTTCAGTTTCCAAGTAGTTTATGACGTAGCGCTGCCAAATTTCACTTCGTTGTCTTCTGTAGACCTTTTCCCGCAGCATTTTCTTCTCGAGAAAAAGGCAATCAGCTCCTTGCTACGTGCAAGTGGAATCGGACAGTCCACATAACGTGAAGATAAACACGAACAGCACCTCACCCCAGAGATGCACAGCTGCCTGTCCTGCCGCACTCCACTTGCGCTAAAATCCCTAATACAATCAACTTGCATGCGGACCGCTACTGCATCAAGCCACACTCGTTAAGCATGCACGACTACAAACTCGCCAAACCCGAGCAACGTGTCGCGCACACAAATCGCGGGACACCCCAAGTGCAGCATGATGCACATCCACCCAAACCCTTAGGACAAAAACACAGGACATGCGTGCTTATCAGCAATACCGAAGCTTCTGCTGTGTCGCGCGCCCTACGAAGGCTTTTCTGTGTCTCGCGCCCGTACCACAGGCGCGAGACACAGAAAAGCCTTCGTAGTTTCCAATCAGCTTTGACACCCTGAACCACGAGATTAAAACGAAACCGCTGGCCTCTGCTAATAAAGAGAAGAGATATCCATTATGTTAAGTGCTCGCTCTTGTAGAGCTTCCCCAATGTGTGACCACTGTTGCAGTGGTGACAATATCTGAGGGCCGATTGATAGCATCCCCATAAAACTGGTAAAGGTATTCTCTGCCCAATAGTCGGAATCTTAGGAAGCTAAAATTTCATCCAAATGATTCTACATTGTTGTAAGGTAGCCGAAGGCCGCATGCACGGCCTGCTGCTATTGCATCTAAAACCACAGCAAAGCACCATCACAAAAGGGAAGAAAGAGCAGACCCGCCAATTCAAGACAGAAACAACAGACAAAGATACGCTGCGTGATGAGGAATTTACAATTCGGCATTGTCGACGGCTTCGGAAGCAGCAGTGCTTGTCTGCAGGATCGCCTCAAGGGGCTTGAATTGGTCGGCGTTTTATTTTGGGCTGGGTGAGGCCGTCAGTTGCCGCTTTCACAGCTCCGCTTGTTTTTAAGGCAAATTTATCCGTTATTTGGGACCTACTGTCAGAAAGAATTGGCGGAAAACCGCCAAGAGGAGCGTTTCATAGACGACTCCACACAAACTGTTCCGCGAGGAAGCAGCGCACTTTGCCTGTCTCTTATTTTACTGGAGTTGCAGAGCTCGCAGAAGATTCGATGCTAGAAGACTATCAGGGTGAAGTCTAAGTCTATTTCGTACAGCGTGGGCACAGAAGCTCCACTGGATGCTCTGGGCTCTTCACGTCAGCGGATGCTCTAAGGGACAAGTGGGCTTTTGCCCGATTTACAATTCTCAAGTAGGTGTCGATTTCCTCAGCGGCATCGTTTCCCTTTATAGGATGACGTCCGAGCTTCATCCAATTGCCAGTACAGTAGCTGCTCGCATCTCCTTGCATTGGTGGAGCTTTCCTGTGCCAACCGCACATGCTGCTTATTGGTAGACCTCTAAATGAACAACAGCACATCCGGCGCTCATCAGAAGGCCTTCATGTGGGAGCTCACTGACACTGATGAAGGCACAATCTCCAGCTCACCCGTTTCTTCTATTCATTCTGGGTACAACGCAATGGCACGTGGTTCAACAGTCAATGCTAGGAGTAGCAGCAACCAAATCAGCAGCATGAGCACCAGCGCCTTTGGCACCAGGAATGAACGTGAGGAGTACATCTGTCATTCGAGAGCCGTAAATGGCCATTTCGCTAACCAACCGCGCTGTCCACGGCTGTTTCTTTCTGATCCTATGCATGCATCAGCATTGCAGTCCGGGGGAGTGGAAAAGGAAGTATATTCGAAAGTGCCACTCGCTGAAGCTAAGTGCTGCGAAAATTCGGAGGCTGCTACGTCACCTGTAAGTGGCGATGAAACAAATGCTGAGTTGGAGGCAGGCAACCCGTTGCTGCGTAGGGCGGAAGGCAAAAGCGAACTCGACGGCGTTGAGGGAGAGATGAAACGCTGCGGGATCCAGAGAGGTGTATCTTCTGCTGATAAGTGTACTGACGCCGGGGGTGAGGAACAGAGAGGAGGCGAGGATAGCCGAAGCCCACCTGATGCTCAGTCTGCAAGAACAGACGAGACGGAAGCCGCTACTCCGAGTCGTGGGGCGTCGACAATGCAAGGGGATGACAGGACGACGCAGACGCGCCTAGATGAACTATCTTTACTTTCCTTCAATGCGGGGCTTCTAGAGTACAAACTATGCGGCCTTCGCGTTTACCAAAATCCTCCCTTCACACAGCGCCGACTTCATCACATTCCGGGTAAGTTAAGCTTTATTGGTGTACCGGCGATGTCTACTAGCTTATCCTTCGCATTGCTTTTAGCTTGAAACGGGTTCATTTGTACGTTGTCGGCTGGCCGTTCTATAGACTCGAATTGGCTGCTGTGCCTTTAGCTTAAATGGCTGTAGTTTCTGCTAATTAAAACTTATCTACATCTCTTCCTTCTAGCTACGCACATTTTAACAGCGGCAATACTCTCAACGGGAGCTGACATCATTTGCCTGCAAGAGGTGTACGGAGAAAACCACGCCGACTTCATCATTGAGAGCACTCGCCATAAACTGCCTTTTGTTGGTAAGCTGCACTGGCATCCATTTGTGCGGGTCTCTCGCTTTTTTTTCGACCGTAGGGTGTCTATCTCCGTGCCGTACTTTCAGACTGAAATTTTGTCAGCAAGTCAGCTCTCAGGGTGCACGGCTGGGGGCTTAAGGGCTGTGAATGTTCAATTGTTTTAGGTCGCCGCACGTCTGGGGGTCGTTTCGCACTTCACAATGGCCTAATGGTTCTTAGCAAGTTTCCAATCGTCCATACTCAGTTTCACAAATTTGAAGATGTGGGCGAGCTTACGGCGGGTGCACGCTGATACGAAAAATTGTTCATTTAATTTGGAAGGAACTCATTAACACAGCCTCGACGTTTCTAGAGTCGTAAAGATTTGCCGTCCTTTTCTTGTCTACAACACTGCAGGTGACGTACATCGAACGCTGCTTTGCTTCGAAGGGGATGTTGGAAGTAGCCATCGACGTGCCTTCTATCGGTGTTAGTAAGCAATATGCTGACCTTCAATAGAGCTATTTGACGACAGCATCCAGTGCTGATTTAGAAGATGCAGTTTCACGACATCCAGGCTTCCTTCCGTTTCCTTGTTGAATTCAATGGCTCTATGGACGGCGAAATGAGCAGCTGAATTTGGCTCTAATTAATTGTGGCTGACGTTGCCGTGGTGCCGTTGCTTCGTGGACCTCCTCTCTTTCTTCAGTTGCTGTTTTTAATATCCATTTGGCGAGTGGAGCCGTCGACCCAGAGTCCCGCTATGTGGAAGACGTGCGAGCAGCAGAAATTCGTCAGCTGTTGAAAGCCTGCGATGCTGCAGCAGACAGAGGCCATGTGCCTCTCGTTATTGGCGACCTCAATGCAGGTGCGAGGACCCTGTAGTGCGCTGTTGACACATTCCATAGCCTCCGGTGATGGCGTTGCTCTTCGTAGTGCTAGTGGATAACGAGTTTAATAGGAAAGATTTCAGCTATTTTGTGGTGTGTAGTTCACGAGCATTCGTAGTGGTTGCATGCTGCTCAGCGGCCTCGATAATTTCTGTATTCTAGAGAGGACCTTCGCATGCTGCGTTTACACAGTTGAAAGCGTCAGTTTCTTGGTATTCATGGTCCAAGCGCTTAATTGTTTTTTTTGCTGCATGCACAGCCCCCCACTTATGCGCTTCAAATTACAAGTGCTTCGTGGAGCGAGGCTGGCGGGACTGTTGGTTGCACGTGCATGGGCATCAGCGACACTTGTTGCAGCATCATCTTTTGCACCAGCAGCAGTTGCTGGATGAGCAGCAGCTAGATGACCAAGGAATTGAGCTCCACGATCGGCACATTCGTCGGGACCTGTTCGTGCGTGTTAGGCGACAGCGACGCATGAGGATGCACATAGAACCAGGGCCGAGGGGACTTCAGGCACATCCGGCTGCTCTGTCACAGGTGACGGCGTCTTCTAGAAGTACTGTGCAGCAGCACGTGCTCAACAAATCTGATGCTGCACCTTCTGCCAGTGTGACATCGGATGCAGACATAAGTGACACCGAAGGAGAACAGAAGCAACAGCTGCTAGGTCAGCGGCAGAGCCTACAAGCGCGATCCTCACAGAGGAGTGGTCCTCGAGAGCAGTCAGTTTTACGGAGCAGTGGCACTGGTCAACGAGACAGGAGCATATTTTTCGGTAACATGAACAGCTACCCGTCTAACGAGAACTGTAGACGGGGTCCCACAGGAGGTTCGAGCCGCCGTTTTCCTCACCAGGAATGTGTAGAGTTGTCCAATTGTGACTCTAGTGATGCAGCAACAACGGCACCGCGCAACACCTCAGGCAGAAATAGCAGTGCGCTAAGTGCTAGCGCAGGCGAGGAAGAAAGCGCCAGTTTGCCCGTCAGAGGGTTACTTGGGGGCTACTTTGGCAGGGCAGGTGGAGGCGTACAGCTCCCCTTGGCTTTTGAGTTGCCGGCTGCTGCAGCCTGGGCCCACCGCGAGTTTTTCTTGACGGCAAAGCGGCGGCTTATTGAGCAACAGCAGAAGTGGCTGGGCGGTGGGGACAAAGCACCTGTCCTAGATGTGCGTCTCTCACTTTCAGCGCCCCAGCACCAGCAGCGGGGTGTAGACGCAACCCCGCTTGCCAGTGACTGTTCGCTGGCGTCCTGCAGCACTGCCCTTACTGCAGTACAGGGCGGCGACAAAAGCCTGATGCCGGGCAAAGCGTGGCGTTCTGTAGCGCTTGCAGTTGCACCTGCACAAAGCCATTGGAACAGCGAGGGAACTGATGGTTCTGTAGCAGATTGGCTGCTTTCAGACACGGACGAAGAGACCGAGTCCGGGGAAAGCGGTGATACCGTCATACAATGCGCTTCTGACGAAGATAGGGCAAATTACTCGCGCCGAGACTTTACATGGGACCCGGAGAATCCACTGAACTCTATTGGGCCTCATGCAGGTTGTCACGGGCTCCGTTGTGACTACGTGTTTTTGCCCCCCCATCAATTTGCGGGGGGTCTATATCCGTTTTTACCGGTTGCCGCTGATATCCTCATGAGGGACCCTCGTGTCCTAGTTGATGCCTGCTGCTTTGGTTGCTTCGGGGAAGTGATGCTTGTGACACTGAGCGATCACTACGCCATCCGTATCACCCTGAGGCGGAGCACAGACACTGATATCGCAGACTTTTGGGGGTCATGTGCTGCAGAAGCGGCAGCTCTTAGGTCAGTCAACCAGGCAGAAAGAGATCCACCGGCTGCTAGCTGTGAAGCGAGCCTACAGGCGAGCGAATAGTATGGCATGCTTGTAGTTACACCATACATTTTTGTTTGTGTGGAAGGGTCGGCGAGGACTGGCAGTCACGCTTCCTCGAGAGGTTTGTCAACGGGACTTGTGATTTTCACGTTATTCGCGTAGCAACCTTTGTACCGCAAGGGACTTAGAGTGGAAGTATCCCGAGAACTTCTAGTGCAGCGAACTGTACGCTATACCTAGGTGAAGGAAAACATTGCGACAAGCGAATACAGTAGTTGGCACCGGGGCCTCCGTAGTTGAGCCGAGTAAGTCTGCTCTCGAGGTTTGCTATCCACGTCTAGTTTGGTTTGATAGGATGAACTGCGCGGTTTGGAGAGACTAAAACTCCAATCAACCTAGTTACACTTTAGCACTGGCTTTTATGGCCCTTTCTACAGTCGGTAGAGCGAGAATTAGCAGCTACGGAGGAGTTCACTGTAAACTCGCATAGCCGTCAGCACTATCGAACGATCTTACTATGGCAAGACGGGGCGCATCCAGACACGAAGAAAAATCCTGTCGAAAGAGCCCATTACTTGAACCTCATTGATCTTAATTTTATCCTCTGCTGAGGGGGGGACATCGTGCAGCGTAGCCCGACTCAATCTTACTAAGGATGGTTTTAGACAATCCTGTTACCGCCAGGTGGCATTCGGCCAGATCCGCTGGGGAGAAGCATCTGTTGGGCTGAGAAGTCACTTAATCAGAAACCTATAGGCCTTCTTGAACAGCTAGTCATCCCTTCTCGTCGGTGGGTACACGTGGGCCTCGACTTTATCACAGATCTTCCCCTTACAACGACAGGGCACGACTCGATTCTTGTGATGCTCGACTCCCTCTGCAAGATGGCCCATTTTGTTCCTTCAAAGAAGTCATTCATAGCAGCCGACATAGTGGAGCTTCTTGCAGACCGTATTATCCGCCATCATGGCTTTCCAGAGGTGCTCATATCGGAAGGAGACCCCCGCATCCAGTCGGATATCTGGCAACAACTCTGTAGGCGCGTTAATATCAAACGCTGCATGTCCTCGTCCCACCATCCGCAAAGTGAAGGTGAAACTGAAAGGGTTAACCGCACACTCGAGCAGATGCTTTGTACCTACATCCAATCTGACGAACGCGAGTGGGAGCGTTTGCTTTCGGCCTTGGAACTTGCCTACAACACGACAAGCCACTCAACTGCCGAGCTCCCTCTCTTCGAGGTCATGATTGGCGAGAATCCGTTGACGGCTGCGATCCTTGATATATCGTAGGCGCGTTAGCCCCTACGCTCACTCCTCCGATGACTAAGCTTTTCCGGCAGCTCTGCGACAGAGCACAGAGTCACATTCTGTCACTACCGCGCACATCATCCCCTTACAACAGCTAGGCGGCCTACAATGCTCGTCTCCTACCACGCTTAGGCCCGCCTCTTTAAGCATTCAGTCCTCTAGGTGCTGGAACGGGTCGGCTACCTACTGCTCTTGCCCTCTGGCTTGGTCTGGCCTCGGTCGTATGTAGGACAGTCCCAAGTATAGTATCCCACACATCCACACTTCTTGCGGGTCTCGTTCGGACGCTTGGTGCGTTCTCCCTTGCTGGGACACACGCGTGCCGGGTGTCCTCGACCCTGACACTCATAGCAGTTCTCAGGGTTTCCCCCAGGTCGATTTTTGTTTTCCTGGCGCCGACGGGTTCCATCTGCCTGGACAGCAGCTCTAGTAGCTCGGCTGGCCCTTTCTTGTAGCTCTAGCACGCTCTGCTTGGGTCCGTAGGGGCGCGCTGCAGCTGTCGCCGCTTGTCCCAACGAGGGATACTTCACCCGCCTGTTGTTTGTTATTAGAATATGGAGTTCCGTTGGTAGCGCGGCGCAATAATAGTCAGCTTGTTCGTAGGGGTTGACCGCCAAACCACGCTCCGCTACAGCCGCAAAAACTGGTCCATGTATTCCTTCAGGTTACCACTCCATCGTACTTTAGCCGACTCCGCCAGCAGTTGACTCTGCGGCATTGTTCTGTCGAACCGTTCCAAAAGCCTGCACTGTGCCGTCGCCCAGTCACTTAGGTTGATAGTCCGCTCTAGATACATCCAATAAGCTAGAGCGGGGTGTAGTGGACAGCACCTACTGCTGCGACTACGCTGCTACCTGCCCCCTCGAACAGGCGCCTATGATCAGCATCTAACTTCGGCGCATTGCCTTAAAACAGCAGCCCAAATATGACGAAATACAGTTGTTCTTTGTGTTTCCAAAATCTGTTACCTTGAAAATCCCCCCCACTCGGGGTTCTCGCCTCCTAGGCCCTGGGGACCGGTGCTGGCGCTATCCCCAGCCCCAGTCTCCACGTATCTACAGGCACCTCCAGTGTATGCATGTTAATTTTCAGACAAATTGCCTTACTTCGATCCTAGTAAGAAGGTCCTTTCCTCTTTCAGTGTTACGACCTCCTGTAGGTCTGTAGCTTGTTATCGTCTATAGGTCATCAGCAAGCCCTATTGTAGTGCCTGTGCTCTACAACTTCTCCCCTTGCTGGACTGAACAGACCTACCCAAAACACGTTACTTTTGTCTTTTCAATCTCTATTCTCTTCTGAAGCTAACGTCGTGAGCGCATGCGGTGCGCGTCGCTCCCTCCCCCCTTCTCGTTGAAGGTTGCCCGTCCTGCAGGCGGCGGAAGGTGACGGACCCAGAACTAAGATTCTTTCGAGCCTGAAGACGTCTTCGTTGGCGGCGGCGCCAAGCGCGAAGCAAAGCGGGGCAGCCTGTAAGGTGGAGAGCGGGCTCCCATGTGGCTTGATCTTCAGGTGTCCTGCGCCACTTCACGAGGTACTGGGCTGCAACTCTCCAGCCGCGTTGGTCCATAATATAATCGACTTCATATTCCTTTGTTAGGTTGCCTGCTGCATCGCGGATAGGAGGTCAGGCGGCGTTGGCTTCCGGGGGAACCAAATCGGGATGGCGGGGACGGTGGGAAACTAGCTGCGAAACGTGGAGAACGTTGTGGCATTCATAAGTGGTAGGCAGAACGAGACGGTAAGCGACGGTTCCTATGCGTTCGATGACTTCAAAGGGTCCGCGGTAACGGGGTTCGAACTTAGGGCAGCTGTTAAAAGGCGGTAACTGCTTGCTACTGAGCCAGACCTTGTCTCCCACTCCATACTCTACTGCTTCGCGCTTTGTGTCTGCGTAGTACTTCTGCTGCCATTTTGCCTTCAGGATGTGACTCTGTGCTCTGTCGCAGAGCTGCCGGAAAAGCTTAGTCATCGGAGGGGTGACCGTAGGGGCTAACGCGCCTACGATATCAAGGATCGCAGCCGTCAACAGATTCTCGCCAATCATGACCTCGAAGAGAGGGAGCTCGGCAGTTGAATGGCTTGTCGTGTTGTTAGCAAGTTCCAGGGCCGAAAGCAAACGCTCCCACTCGCGTTCGTCAGATTGGATGTAGGTACAAAGCATCTGCTCGAGTGTGCGGTTAACCCTTTCAGTTTCACCTTCACTTTGCGGATGGTGGGACGAGGACATGCAGCGTTTGATATTAACGCGCCTACAGAGTTGTTGCCAGAGATCCGACTGGATGCGGGTGTCGCGGTCCGATATGAGCACCTCTGGAAAACTGTGATAGCGGATAATACGGTCTGCAAGAAGCTCCACGGTGTCTGCTGCTGTGAATGACTTCTTTGGAGGAACGAAATGAGCCATCTTGCTGAGGTAGTCGAGCATCACAAGAATCGAGTCGTGCCCTGCCGTTGTAAGGGGAAGATCTGCGATAAAGTCAAGACTCACGTGCGCCCACCGAGGAGAAGGGATGAGCAGCTGTTCAAGAAGGCCTGCAGGCTTCTGATTGAGGGACTTCGACGCTCGACAGTAAGTGCATGACTCTACATAAGCAGTAGTGTAGGCGCGCATTCCTGGCCAGTAGTAGTGCTTGCTAAGAGCCACAAAGGTCTCTTTCTGGCCTCGATGGCCTTTGTGACATGGTCTTGATGTGAATGCAGAACTTGAGTAAGGAACTCAGGCAATCGTGGGACGCAGATGCGCCACAGTCCATGAACGCGGATGTGCAGGTAAGGCTGCACGTAGCGAAAGGTGAATTGGCGATTACGAAATTCTATTTGCAGAGCTTCTCCTGGTTGGTTTGCTGCGGCTTTGTAGGGAACGCGAAAAACAGAACACTTCGAGTAAGCTTGCGGCCATTGGCGCACATCAGGAGGGTCCGCTGGTGTCTTCGTTGTGAGTGTAGGATGTTCCGCCTCTGGATTGGGTTCTGGCGGCGCAGGTGAAGATGCAGATGGCAGGCTGCTTCGTCTGGGTCGTCACGAACGAATTCCAGCGAGCTCCCTGTAGTTGGCAGGCCGACCACGAGAGCGAGGAGCCGCGCGGGCTTGCCCCACTGCGACCATCAGTGCTTGTCGATGGTATGTCGTGCAAGCAGGTGTTAGGAAGACCGGGACGGCGAGACAAGGCATCAGCCACTTGATTGCGCGCTCCTTGAACATAAGTGATGTGCAAATCCGGGAACTCTGCCAGGAAGTCTAGCCACCGGGCGGTGCGTCCGCGCAGTGGCTTCGATGCATGGAGTCGTTGGAGATGGGTGAGAGCTTGATTATCAGTTTAAGCCGTTAGCTTAAAAACACGGGACAAGTGCGACCACTTGTCCAGTGCCGTGACCAACGCCAAGAGTTCCTGATCGTAGGTCGAGTATCTCTGTTGAGTGGGGTTCATGACGTGGTTGAGGAAGCCGATGGGCTTGCCGTCTTGTTCCAGAACTGCTCCGATCGCATAACCAGAGGCATCCGTGTATAACTCGAAGGGTTACGTGGTGTCAGGGACTTGTAATGTAGTGAAGTCGACTAAGCGCTGTTTGAGCTGCCGCACCGCTTGCGTGTGAAGCTCTATCCATTCGAAATTAACGTCTTTACGCGTAAGGTCAACCGGCGGCCGGGCGACGTCTGCATAGTCCGGTCCCGTGAACATGCGACAGTAATTTATGGTGCCGAGGAACTGGTGCACTTGCGTTCCGTTGTCCAGCACCTCTGGCCAATGTCGGATGTCTTCGATTTTGTCTTTTGCAGGTTTGATCCCCGCAGCAAAAATGGTATAACCCGAATATGTATTTGTTTGCCTTGCAAACTTGCATTAGCGGAATTTTGGGTAGAACTGATGTCTAAGAAAAATGCTTAGGACTTGTCGCAGGAGAGAAACGTGCTCAGAGAGATCGGGACTATAGATAAGTACATCACCTAGGTACACAATAACGCCCTGTCCCAATAAAGGTTGTAGGTAGGCATTAATATTGGCCTGGAACGTAGCGGGAGCACCCTTAAGGCCAAAGGGCATTACTCGGTACTCGAATAGTCCGAGAACGGACCGGAAAGCCGTGTTCCACCGGTCTTCCTTAGCCATACGTATTTGATGAAATCCTGCTTCAAGATCCAAAGTGGAAAAATACTTGGCGCCTCCCAGCATCTCTAGAATGGTTTGAATGGGAGGTAGTAGAAAATCGGGGGCTATCGTAAGAGCATTTAGAGCCTGGTAATTAACAACCATATGCATCTTCCGCTCCCCGGAGCCATCATCACGTTTGTCTACCATGATCGTAGGGGAGCAAATAGGCGCATAGGTTGGTCCAATCCAACCACTGTCCGATAATTTAGCCGTCTCCTGTTTGTGGAATGTGAGCTGATCTGGGGTCATACGGTAGATTGCAGATTTCGCTGGAAGTTTTCCAGGCACAAGTAGGATATGGTGATCATGAGGGCGCTTCGCCGGTAATCCCTTTGGTAAGTTATCGGGAAAGACCGCTCGATACTCCTGCAAAACCTGGATAATCTCACATGGAATATCCTGCGCCTCTGTCAAATTTATCCATTCGTCGAACAGAGTGTGCTCGGGTTTTGCCATAGGCCAGGGAGACTCCTCTTCACCCTCCGCTGCCGCCGAGGCGATTGAGGCGAAAGCACTACCCCAGCCGGCGGACTTGGGTTGATTCCCAATTAACACGCAGAAAAGCGCGCCTGGCCATTCATCCGAGAACCTTAGGGGTACCGCCGAACCGGCTTCAGGCAAAGCCAGTATGAGATGCAAATCGTGCAATGGAGCGCTGAGACTCTTTGTGTCAGCCACCGCCTGACGAACAGGCGACATTATCCGAGCCTTCGCCTTAGTCTTCGCGTGAGACTTATACCTCCTTGGAGGCGGGCGAAGCAATATAGCTGCCTTGTTGGCTGACATACCCGCCACTTGTTTGGCCAATATCTCATATGCTTGCTCTGCCGGGGTCCTAGGGTGGACTACGGTGGGACTGTCACCTTGCAGCTTTGCTTCTCCAGTCCTAACGAACGGTAACTCGCACCACTGGCCACTCACATAGGTTCGGAGTTTGTCGGACTGGAAATACCAGGCCACCTTATGTTGCACCAGCCAATCCAAACCCATGACTAAATCATAAGGAACGGGTCCGACTAAAAGGTCCCCGGAAAAACGTGCATATCCGCACCACATCGTCAATCCCGTCACAACCCGATCAATGCGTAATTGTCCACCTGTAGCTACGGTGAACCTATGCTCTTTTGGAAGTCTCCGCACCGTCAGGAGCAGTCATTCAACTGTTTTAGGACTAAGGAAACTATTCGAAGCCCCAGTGTCCAAGAGGGCCTCACAAGAACTCCCTGCGAGCTCAAAGCCAAGTACTGCCGTCGCACCCACATAACACAGTGCTCCCCCTTGGTCGTAAGGCTCTTCCGTGCAAGTTTCCCTCCACCAGTGTGGCGCAATCTCTGTCACGTCTGGCCTATAGCCGTCTTCTGTTGCCTCTGCAGACTTCCTGCTGCTATCCGTCGTCGCTTCCGGAGCCTCTTCACTCAGGATCGCCGCTCACCAGGACTCTCACCGCGTTTCCGAAAGCGGCTGATTCCCTTCCGCGTGCCCATCGCTCGTATTATTTCCTTCCGCAGTGCTGAGGAGTTGGTTTCGCCACTCAAAGGAGACTGGAATGGTACTAGCGCCTGTGGCTACCGCACACATCATCCCTTTGCCATGGCTACGCGGCCTAGAGCGCTCGCCTCCTACCACGCCTAGGCCCCCCTCTTTAATTGTTCAGTCTTCTCAGTGCTATGACGGATGGGCTCCCTACTGCTCTCGTCCGCCGGCTCGGGCCGGCCTCGTTCATACGTAGGACAGTCCCGAGCAAAATGTCCCACACCGCCACACTTCTTGCACATTTTGTAGTGGACAGGCACTACAATAGGGCTTGCTGGTGACCTCTAGAAGATAGCTAGCTAGCGACCTACAAGGGGTCGCAACACTGGAGGAGGACAGCACCCTCCTACTAAGATCAAAGTAAGGCAATTTGTCTGAAAATTAACATGCATACACCTGAGGTGCCTGACAATGCGTGGAGACTGGGGCTGGAGATAGCGCCGGCACCAGTGCAGGCCTCCTCCACACAGGACCTAGGAGGCGAGCACCCCGAGTGGGGCGAATTGAACGACAACAGAATTAGGAAGCTTAAGAGTAACTGTATTTCAATATATATAAGCTACTGTTTCAAGGAAATGGGCCAACTGTAGGTGCCGATCATAGGCCCTGCTCGAGTGGGCAGGTAGCAGCGTAGTCACAACAGTGGGCGCTGTGCACTACGTATTTCCCCCAGACGTTTGGTACGTTCTCCCTTGCAGGGGCAGACACGTGACGGATATCCGCGACCCTGACACTCAGAGCACTTTGCGTGGGTTCCCCCAGGTCGATTTTCAATTTCGTAGAGCCGACGGGGTCCATTAGCTTGGATAGCAGCCCTAATGGCTTGACTGGTCCTTTCTCGGAGTTCTAGCACACCCTGCTTGAGCTCGTAGAGGCGTCCTGCGGCTTTCGCCGCTTGTTCGCACGACTGATATTTCACCTGTCCGTTATTGGTGATTAGAAGATGAAGGTCTGTCGGTATCCCGGTGCCGGTGCAGTAATACTCAGCGAGTTCGTCGGGGGCAACACCCAAACCACGCTTCGTTACAGCCGCAAACCGGTCCGTGTATTCCTTCGGGTTACCATTCCACTGTACTTCAGCCAACTCCGTTACAATTGACTCTGCGACATTGTTTTGTCGAACCGCTCCAAAAGCCTGCGCTGTACTGTCGCCCAGCCACTTAGGTCGATAGTTCCCCGTAGATACATCCAATACGTTAGAGCCGGGCACACAAGGTGGTCAATAAGTGCATCCGGAAAGAACAAAGATGTCATTCCTGGAGCAGACCCCAAATGTAGTGCACGGCACCTACTGCTGCGACTACGCTGCTACCTGCCCCCTCGAGCAGGCTCCTATGATCAGCACCTAACTTCAGCGTGTTTACTTGAAACAGCAGCCCAAATATAACAAAATCCAGTTAGTTTTTGTCTTTCCAAAATTTTTATCCTCAAATCCGCCCCACTCGGGGTGCTCGCCTTTTCGGCCCTGTGGGGAGGAGGCCTGCTCCGGTGATGGCAGCCCCAGTCTCCACGCATTTCCAGGCACGTCTAGTGTATGCATGTTAATTCGCAGACAAACTGCCTTACTTTGATCCTAGTAAGAGGATCCTGTCCTCTTCCAGTGTTACGGCGTCTTGCAGGTCGCTAGCTAACTATCTTCTATGGGTCACCAGCAAGCCCTATCGTAGTGCCTGTGCACTACACGGGGCCTACAAGATGGTCGACAAGTATGCCTCCCCATTCGCAGGTCTCCAATCCCACCTGAGTGTACTGTCGTTCGATGCGCATCAAAAAGGCCTGCATAGTGCTGTCGTCTTCAGGAAGTATAGGAAACGTTGCGCCAGATTGTCTGGACCTACCTATAACTTTCCATATCACCTCCATCGCGGATTGGAATTGTTCCCACGTGATGTAGTGCGCAGGCACTACAAGAGGGCTTGCTGGTGACCTATAGAGGATAGCTAGCTGGTGAACTATAAGCGGTTAAGACGTTGAGACGCTGATTGAGCGCTGTAACTTCTTACTAGTAAAATAGTAAGCAATTTATTGGCAGACTGACATGTATAAACTAGAAATGTCCACGAATACCCTAAGATTGGGGCTGCCGACAACGCCGGCACCGGTGCGGGTCACATCCTCACCGGACCAACAGAGCAACAACCATGAGAAGTGACTTTTAGGAAATATGCTTTTAAGAACTTGAAACAAAACGGTCTTTCTAATAAATTGGTAGACGTTGCGCGACCGATGCGTCGATAGTAGAGAGGATTTCATAGAATGCCCAAGTTGTGGGCTTTGCAGCATCGTAGTCGCTGCAGAGAACGCGGTGTACTACACGTGACGTACGGATTGTCCGCTGGCAAACCGGTGACATAAACATAAGGGGACACCTCTACAGGCTCACCTGGTTATAGGTGAACCTGCGGTGTCTCCTTATGCGCATGCGGCCGCTCTGCCACAGTGGGCTCCGGAGTAGCATGGCGAAGATGGACTGGTGTCCCGCTGGGCATTTTGCTTACG